AAAAGTATTAAATTAAATCGTCCATAAATTTCAAGAGAATTTTTTTTATAAAATTTAATAATTCATTATTAATTTTAATCTCTACAGTTTAACATATATAATAGATGAAATTATAAGAATTTAATTATAACAAAATAAATTATAAAAATTTAATTTAAAATTGAGTAAAATCGTAAAAATTTATAAATATATTTTTGCTTTAAAGTGTACTCAGGTCAACAACAATCATTTAAAAAAATATTTTATATGTCTTTTAATATTTAAAAATTATTGACACATCTTCGTTATATATTATTCAACAGATAAAATCTTGTATTATTTATATCCTTTTCTCGTATATATTATTAACCATTTTAAATTTCACACTATTTATATTTTTTTTAACAAATCAACTTTTATATAACAAAAATTACATATAATAAATACTCTATATATTTTTTAATAATTATGCATTTAAAATTACTGTTCATTATATATCATCCAAATGTCTAGCAGAGCACCGCATTGAAATTTTTATCACGTTTTTCAAATATTTGTAATATATTATATTTATATAATAAAAATTATAAGTAATTAAAAATTAATATTTTTTAATAATTATACATTTAAAATCATATTTCATTATGTATAAATTAAATAAATTTTAATTTATCAAACTAATTTTTTTAAACTGTAAAATTTTATTATGATAATTGATTTTGACTAAATTGATTTGTGAACCCTGAAAACCAAACACGCAGTTAATGGAACTTCGACTGATTTAGATTAGCACTTGTAGGACTTTCTCTAGCGACAAGCTTTTTCACCCAATATTTAATTTGATTACGGTTTTTTTTTAGGACTCGAAATCAATAGCTTGAACCATACGTTTCATAGTATTCCCACGGACCCTTTAAAATAAAACTCGCATATGATGTAATCCTGGCTCACCCAAAAATAATATCATCTCCATCTTAAATTACAAAATACTTTTTTTAAAAAAATTCATCCCAAAATATAAGAGACTTTAAGTAAATTAAGATTTTATTAAATATACTAATTTCAATATTATTCTTACTCTCTCTATAATTAATTCCCAACTCTTTTCTTTTCAATATAATAAATTATGGATACGAAAGTTTATACTTTTTGTTTTGAAAAGATAAAATTATTAAGTATATTAAATAAAATTTATTGATACATGAGATTTTATTTAAAAATATTTTATAATTTAAAATTTAAGGAGTATAAAAAAAAATTCATCCTTAAATTCAGCATACATGTGCAGTCCAATGATTTTTGTTAGCTGGAGCTTGTCTGAATGCAGGAGGAAATGAGGAAATATACGTGACATCCTGAAACAGCGTGCAAACAATGGTCCGCACGCGTCGCTCCGATGCTGTCGGGCCATCCTGAGTCCAAGATAAATAGAGAAACCCCAATCCAAACTGGAAAACACATACCCAACTAGTTGCCTTTTTGTACAAGGGGTGGGCCATGAGAATGAGGATGATATATAATCAGGATCAAACTGATCGTAAGTAACAGCATTAGCAACGTCGTGATGCAGCCGAAGGGGTCCAGGCGAGCGCGCGCACAGAGAAAGTGTGATATAGAGCTGCCCCTCCGGAAGGCAGATATTGATTCATGTGTCGGCGTGTAGGTGATAATGTATAGCAGCATTTTTGGTTCTGGGCGACAACAGATCCATATAATATTGCACCCCATTTGGCACGAGATAGTCAACAACCTGTTCCCCACTCACCAGTTGCTACTAGTACTTTGTTAATGTTACCATATGGTGACCAGACATTGCAAGGTGGGATTGTCGTTTAATTCCCCAAGTCCCATGAATATTTGAAGGACAACATAAATATTTCATTGTTATGTACACATTTTTGAAGGACTGGCCAAGACCCAGTGTTTTTCCAGTTAAGGAGCCTACCGTAGGGTCTATACTAAATATTTTACCATTTTGGCCGCATGCATGCTACGATTTAGTTGTGTGTCTGGTCAAGATATCGTGCGTGTGGGTGTATTGCTTTCAAGTTTCAAGCCCACGATCTACTCCGGTCACACTTTCCACGTCGTGATTTCTAACCACTAGAAAGTTCACACTACATACCCGACGTACGGTCACTTTTTTTCTCTCTTATTTACAGCTTCACTGACACCGAATGTCGTGATGGCCAGTATACATTTCAAATTTTCTGCGTTTGTTGCGTGTTTATTTTGAGGGAAAAAGGAGAGCAACTGAAGTAAATAAGAAATGAAGTGAATAAAAGGTTATTTTAAATACAGGGACACAGGATTATTAAAAGAGAGAGAGAGTGCAGTGGTGGGGATCGGCGAAGGTGGGAGTGAAGGGGGAGGGCAGGAGTAGGCAGTGGGTGGAATATAGAGGGAGGGGGCATGATATGATGATATCCCAGGAATGGCCAGAAGAAGAAATGAAAGAGAGAGAGTAAATAATAGCATTAGAAGCTAGCTAGTTCTGGTATTTGTCCTAGGAAATATTCAAACACCATGCCTGCTGGTTGGTAGTTACTCTCTGCGCCTCTATAAACAACCCACGTACCTAGTTGCAAGGCTAGACCAGCGATGCCACTCCGCTGCCATCATCGCCCCTCTTTTCAATGCCACTCCTGCCTCCTCCTCATTTCTTCTTCTTCTCATCAATAATATTTCAGAAAATCCTCTTACATTATTATGTTCCACAAATTGAGAAGTTAGACCGCTTTCTGCAGTTGACAAGTTACTCATGCTAATTGATCTCGGTTTCATCCTTACATTTCATAACGAATTGGTGTAGTATATTCATAATATAACATATGAACAGTAAGAACTAGCATTCATATTGAGACTAGAACTCATAGGGTAGAAAATAGATTTATGGATGGAATCAAATATGCAGTATTTACAGATAAAAGTATTCGGTTATTGGGGAAAAATCAATATACTTCTAATGTCGAATCAGGATCAACTAGGACAGAAATAAAGCATTGGGTCGAACTCTTCTTTGGTGTCAAGGTAATAGCTATGAATAGTCATCAACTCCCGGTAAAAGGTAGAAGAATGGGACCTATTATGGGACATACAATGCATTACAGACGTATGATCATTACGCTTCAACCGGGTTATTCTATTCCACCTCTTAGAAAGAAAAGAACTTAAATCAAAATACTTAATAGCATGGCGATGTTTATGGGCCTCTAAGAAAAACATAAAAAGAAAAATATCAATCAAAAATTACAAGAGCGTAGTTTTTATATTAGCCAGTGGCTAATAAATTTTAAAATTTTGCTGCAATTTCTCAATCCTTGAGTAATATTAATTTTTTATATAAAATAACTAAATTATTTATAAAATATAGAATAATAAAAAGTCACCCTTACAATCATTGGCGCCAGCCACTGAATAGTCACCAATGAGGTCGCAAGAGCTTCAACATTAGTAACATTTTTTTTTTAAAATTTGATGAAAGTGGTCAAAGAGAATTTTGTTCCCACAATCCCCTGATCACCTTAGAAAGCTTGGTGGCCATCAAGCAACGTTCATAAAATGCTTGAAATTTTAAGACTTTCAATTTAAAATTGACCATGTTAAATTAACTAGTAATATTAGTAAAATAATAAGTTTTATTTTTGAATTAACGATGCACCATTATGATTTATGTTATAACATAGGAGCGATTTAAAAACCTAAATTGCTACATTTTTTATTTTTCCAAATGGACTTTGTGGCTACTAATCTTTTTAGGTGTCTGAAGGGTTATGAGATCAAATCTCCCCTAACCACTTTTGTCAATGTGTTTTAAAAAAAGTGTCATTAGTGCTCGAGCTTCGATGATCAACCACCGACAAGGTCTCTAATGGCCCTCCGATGGCTAGCACTAATGACAATGGAGATAACCTTTTTTTTACTATTTTATATTTTAGGGACAATTTAATTATTTCACATAAAAATTAATAACAATTAAGAATTAAGGGATTGTAGTAAAACTTTAGAATTTATTAGTTATTGATTGACACAAATATAGTCCAACAGTCTTTGATTAATGTTTTTTCAATACATAATTTATTCAACCCAACTCATTTTGTAATTAAAATAATAGTAGTGTAAACAATGGATAATGAAACTTTAAGTTCCTTATATTTGACTCAATTATTAATTTAGTCCTTTATATATTCTTAAATTATCATACGAATCCTTTCAGTTTTGAAATATAAATTAACTCTCACAATAATCTAATGTAAAAATTATATTAATAACCTAACGTGTATATGTAATTAGATGAAAACAAATTAAACCTCAAATTAGTTTAATTCTTATCAATGTAATCCCTCAGACCATGTTTTATTCTCTCATTTAAAAAACATCAGAGCTCCTTTTTTACTGTTTAAGTAATTATACTTCTTTTCAAATTTTACTAACATTACCTCAATTTTAAGGGATATGTAACGATTCCCCCAAATCCGATATACTGACTACCGAGCAGTCTAAACGCTCGAGAATTTTTGTAGATCCAACCCCTTGTTTATCTAACTTGTTTATTTCCTTTTATCGTGAATTAAGAACAATCTTATTTGATATATATATATATATATATATATATTTATTTTTAAAAAAATCAAGGCGTAGATGTCTTTTCATTTGATCTTCGCACTAATCAAGTTCAATCTGTTTGACAGGAGACTAGGATTTTACCCTGCTCGGTGGTTTTGGGCTTCATAATGTGTGATCTAGGTGGGGAGCAGATAATGGGCCGATGGTATTTTAGCTGTGAAATATAATGGGCCTCAGCCCGGTTTCATGTTTGACGCAATCTCGTCTCCCGGAGCCCACAAAACAGTTGGAAAGAGCTATGATTACGAGACGCGTCGACTAAATGAATATCAGTTTGTACTACAATGTACTACCATCACCAACTAATGTAATTCCAATTCAGTACTGCAATGGTGCGAGATCATTTAACATTTACTCCAAATTTTAGTTTTTTATGATTCAATAAAAGAAAGAAATTGAGAAATCGGAACAACAATATCATATTCAATCAATGAGTCTGCAATTCTGCAGGAATGGTAACAATATTTGATTGATATGTTACGTGTACGTAAATACATGAATATGATCCCTGAAGTAACATTTACACGGCCAGCTTAGCATGCTGTTTAGAGGGAGAAGCAATCGGCCTTGATCTGAACGGCGGCAGAAAGGGGAGGAGCAGTCTTGAAGGCGAAGAATCGGACGGACTCATATCTCCGGCGTGCGGCCGGTCTGGGAAGATTCTCCGGCACGACGGTTTCCAAGGAGTTTTGGCGCCAGGAGGGGCAGGTCCTCTCGTGGCTCCACTTGGCGGCGGGAAGAGGCAGAGGCAGAGGCAGAGCAAGGGCAGTCTGGTGTTCAGCGGCAGTGACCAGACTGGCGAGGTCTAGTCCGATGAGAGTGGAAGCCATTTTCACGAGAATGCATCGCCTTCTCCAGCACGCTTCATCTCTGACCCTTCATTTCCAACACACAGAGGAAGTCATTAAAAGAAAAGCAAGAACAAACAGGGGAAGCGAAGAGAGTGAACGAGTGAGGGTGATAAATAAATAGATCAGACTTACAGAGGAAAGTGAGGGGGTGGCTTGACAGGGACGCGGGTATGGAGAGTAGGGTTTGAAGATGGAGTGGGAAGGTTAAGGCAGCAAGTGGTTCTCATGATCAAGACTCTAGCAAAGAAGAGGAGGCAGAGTGATATGGGAAGAAAGAGATTCAATAAGCAAAAAGGGAGGAAGACATGTTAATGTTATATAAAGAAGACGATTGGGAAGTTAGGGTCAGTTTGGAGGTGGTTTCAATCTGGGAATTGAGGCGTGTACCCTTCAAACATTCACATAACAACAAATCAGTGATCCCGTCTCCGTCTATTAGTAATGCTATCACCTCCCTCCAAACACGCAACACCTACAAACATACAAGTCTCGAGTCTCATATTTCAACTACAAAATATCTCAATTTCTTCTCTTCTCTTCTGCCAGGAAATAATAGTTTAATTATATTCAATAAAATCAAACACGCTTTATAAATTCGACTTGGTCTTCTTTGTTTTTGTGTCGGTTGATTTTTGTTTTTTGTATGCTTTTAAAAGGGATGGATAATTATTTTCTTGGCCTGGAAATAACGAATATTCAGAGAAGTTGAAAAAAAAAAAAAGCACAATTTGTGATGGGGTAAGTGAAAGTAAGCTAGACATGCGGAGCACAAATTGAATACCATTTTCTTAAGGAACAAATAGTGCAGCCAAATACATGACGGAGAGAGAAAACAGGGGAGTCACTATCTAAGGGAAGCCACCGTCAGTTAATTGATACGTTTGATGTCTGGATGCAATTGGCTTGGTTGTTTTTAACCTTTTCGTGGTGAGGATATTTAATTATTTATCGACTACAAATTTTGGAGCGTGCTTTTTCCACGCCTACATCAACTCACTCATCAGTAAACTCAACTTTAAAGTATTTATTTTGCAATTATTAAAATAAAATTTATAAACAACTTCAATAAATCTACTCGTTATCAGTCTAGCCTAGATTTAACTTGAATCATCCATTTTAATATTAAAATTTTTATAATTTGCATTTTAGTAAATATAAAGTAAACATTTTAAATCTGGGTCGAGGTCTAGATTTTATTAGTGTGATGAGGATCATGAAAGTATAAACTGTTTTTATCTTGTAGGCCCTCGCAAGAAACGTTTAAAATGTCCGTAGATATTTTTTTTTGGAACAGTTAATTAATCTCGTAACATATAAGAAAGGGAGGCAAAAATTGTGCAGTTAATTCATTGATTAACAGCGAAGCTCTGACACTCGTGTTCGCTGCCAAATTTATGTCGCGACAGGGTAGCAACTAATTGCCCTAGGGATTGCAAGTTAGAGCTCCTGATAGATTCATGTGCGGTTCAATTTATCACAAATTTCATATGATTAATGAATATTTGATCCATTTTATTAGGTACAGTCTACTCACTAAAAATGATTACTTGAAGAAATTGACTCAGTAAAAGTTCCCATAATTAATTATCACCAATTCATAATAAATCTGGTTTGATTTGTCCAAAAAACAAATTCTGGCTTCATTAATCTAACAATCTTCCACTTAAATGCCATAGATTAAATGAGCTGGACAAATATAACGACAATATATCAATCATCAATATAACCTTGTTATTATTGGTTATGTGATTTAATAACATACAAGCTCATAGATAAATGGAAGGTGGCATGTTTGATTCCACTTATAATTTCAACCTACAAGTGTTTGACTCTCTAAATAACTCTCTCTCTAGATAACTATATTAAACCTTATCTACAGTTCAAAAATAAATCATTTCAAGATTAATTTATAAAGATAGCAAATAGTATAAAAATGTAAAATTTCAAAACGAGCAGAATGGATTGAAAATTTTGGTATCTCAATGATTATTTAGAAACGAAAAGATAAGAGATCAGTGAATTCAATAGGAACATAAATAATGTAAAACACGTCAACACAAAATTCTTTTTAAAAATTATATATATAGGTTTTATGAAATAAACTTACTTATAAATAAGTTTTATAAAATTTAAAAACTACAATTTATAATTTAAAATTGAGATAAAAAAAATAATAACTCTACTAAATATATATACATTAGGTTAATTAAATAATTTACAATTACTTTATTATGATTTTATAATTATAACTTCTACTTTTTCCGATTATAATTCTATATATTTAATAATTAAATTGATCATTTTAATTATTGAATATATAAAATTATAGTTGTCAATTATTAATAAAATAATCATAAATAATTATTATTAAACTTTAATAACATATAATTGTTTAATTATTAAATATGTAAAATTTTAATTGTAAAAAATTAAAATTATAGTTTTAAACAATTGATAAAGTAATTGTAAACCAATCATTTAATTGATGTAATATATATTTAATAGAGATATTATTATTTTTGTAGTGTAATTTTAAATTACATTCAAATTTTAGGGGACTTAGTTGTGATTTTTAAATTTTATAAAATTTATTGATAAATAAATTTATTTTACAGGACTAATATGTAATTTTTTTAATAAACGTGATTAGAAAACAACTTTAACAAGACGAGTATATGCTAAACAAAATCGAATAAAACACGCGAAAATAATAATGAATTTGAGATTTTGATATTTTCCCTCGCCATGGCAGTCTTTTCCTTTTGTTTTGATTTGATTTGTTTTTGTTTTGTTTTGTTATTTGGCGCCGGGGGGGGGGGGGTGGCCAAATTCGAGTCCTGGAATATCCAACCTTAGTTTTTATAGCAGAAAAGATCTGGCAAAAGGTCTTTCGTTTCAAAGACCACGACGTCGTTATGAATTTTCCGTCACGTGGAGCCCCACCGACTCTCCCTGCGAATCGCCTATATTCTTTCCACCACTCGTAGTAGTTCACCGCCCAGTCTCTACGATTTCGTCACCTGTGGTCTCCATGCCCTGATTCTTGCTTCCTCTTTCCTGCATTCTGGAAGTAACTTCATTGGGGCCACCTCTCCTCTCTCGCAAATCTCCGCTACCTGCACACTTCTCGGTCTCTCACCCACCAACCCCAATTCCATATCAAAAACCCTAATTTTTCTCTCTCTGCACCTCCGTTTTCAGTTCTACAACGGCTCTGTAGTTCGCCTTCAAGTGGGTATACCTGCGTTCGATTCGCAGCTGAGCCATCCTAGAAAGTCAGTTACTGGATTGATGAATTGCGGGAATCTCTGTTCTTAGTATTGAGAGGGTGAGATTTGGGGGGTTTCCAGGAAGGGGATCTTATGGTTGATAAGAATGGAGGAAAATGAACAGAATAAAAGTAGTGGATTCAGGAGTTCCGGCGAGAGTCGTCCGCCGAATCCATTCGCTGCCGAATACCGACAATGCCTTAGCACCGAACGTGGGGCGGCACCAAGTAAGAAGTCCCTTGTTCGGCATCCTTCTCTTGTAAGTTTGAGCTACAAACTTTTCTTCATTCCTCCTGACAAATGGGTCCTACATACGTTTACTGTGCTAATGGTGTTAATGATGTAGCAGCTTGGTTCCAGGAGGAAAGAACGAAAAGACAAGTTGGTCTTGCTGTAATTATTTTTCAGCTTATCATTTGATTCGAAGTATTGGTCTAAAACAAATTTAATGGTATCTAGGAATCTTTGAAGAATGATGATGGGATAGAGGATAGCGTAATGCAGAAGAAGTAAAGTAAAGCTGAACGTAATTTCATCCCAACCCCCCCACCCCCACAATTTTTTTTGTTCGGGATCTAACTGCTTGCTTAGCTAACATTTATATCTTCGTTAGGTGGGACGGGAATTTTGGCGGGCAACTGAAAATATGCTATATTGCCTGGGTTTCTTAATATTCTTATTCTATATCACTTCGAGTCTTTTTAATTTTTTCATCATATCTTTTATAAAATGAGTGTCATTAATAACATTTTTTCTGATGGGCGTCTATCTTTCACCTTCTCCATTTATTGGATACGTGTCCTTTGTTGTTCCTGAAAATTTTACGGGAAATTGAGTAGATGAAGACAAAGGTGTCTGAAATATCTGCTGAGCCAGAACCTGTTGTTGGAGATTGCAAGTCTGTGTTCCTACCAAATGTTCGCTCTGGAGGATGTGCTGATATTGGGTTCCGTTCAAGCATGGAAGACGTGTATTTGTGCGTAGACAACTTTTTGCCAAATTATGGACTCAGGAACCACATAGATGGGCCCAGTGCATTTTATGGGGTATTTTTCTATTCTTAACACATTAAGTATCTAGCTCATGGCAGTGATTATAGTGCCTGTGGTGTTTTTGAATTGAGGTGCCCCCTTCTCTGTGCATGTGTGTATCACATGCCAATCTTTGGAATTTAATAATTGACTTTTGTATGCCGTTCCTGTCATCCTGATATCCCTTGTATTTTCTTTTCTTCCTACATCCTGCTCGTTCAGCGCGGTACTTTTGGAAGTTCTTGGGAAATTGTAGATTAGATCATATTCTTTAGTGATAGTATTTGCTTTTCATATGTTCATATGGACCAATATATGAGCTCATTTTATACACGTTATTGCTGGTCTTTGCCACTTCTGACAAGCGTTAGAGAAGCATTTGTCCTGCATTTGTTAGAAAAAAGTAACCCATTACTCTATATGGGTTGATCAGTTGTTTGATGGACATGGCGGAAAGCATGCTGCTGATTTTGCTTGTCATCATTTGCCAAAGTTCATTGTCGAGGATGAAGGCTTCCCAAGTGATATTGAAAGGATTATTGCATCAGCATTTTTGCAGACAGACAATGCCTTTGCTGAAGCTTGCTCTCTTGATGCTGACCTTGCTTCTGGTACCACTGCTCTGGCTGCTGTTGTCATTGGAAGGTTAGGGTTTTGATATTTTTATCTTTTTTTTTTTAATTGCAAAGGGTAATATTTTAGGTGCCCATTATCGTTCTTGAAACATTGCTAATGGTATTTTATTTCGTTTCCCCTGAGCTAGCTGTTATCTGATTGGAATGGGATGAGTAGCATGATGCACGGATTCTGAGTTTTTTTTTTTAATAAAAAATTGACTTTTCAGCTCTATTTCATGTTCTCTTGATGTTTGTGAAGCTTGATTTTAAAAAACAAAAGGCGAGTCCATCTTGGAAGTTGTTTTGCACATGTAACGATATTGGCCCTCGATATGGAATCAACCAATTTTATGATTAATAATGCAGAATGAATGAACTTGTTAGCTTTTTATAGGTTTAGTCTTTGTTAGTTTAAGCATTATATATGTCAAAGAAATTTACTAATATTCTTTTTGTCAAGAGTCTAAATGCCATGTGTCTCTGGAATGCCTGTTGTGAGGGTTCAAGGACACTTTAATCTGCCACCCAATTGGTTGGTATTTGTAAATTTTTCTACACTTTCCCCAAAGAAAAATAACACATTGCCGACTCATGCCTTTGATATGTTGCGTGTTGATTGTAGTTTCTGATTGCAGGATGTTGGTGGTGGCAAATGCTGGAGATTGTCGAGCAGTGCTGTGTCGCCGTGGAAAGGCTATTGAGATGTCAAGGGATCACAAACCGACACACAGCAAAGAGAGGAAGCGCATTGAGGCATCTGGAGGTCATGTGTCTGATGGATATCTCAACGGACAGCTCAATGTAGCCCGCGCTCTAGGTGATTGGCACATGGAAGGATTGAAAGTCAGAGATGGTGGACCTCTTAGTGCAGAGCCTGAACTTATGACCACAAATCTGACAGAAGAGGATGAATTTCTCATCATGGGCTGTGATGGGATTTGGGATGTTTTTAGGAGCCAAAATGCTGTGGATTTTGCTAGGCGAAGGCTTCAGGAGCATAATGATCCAGCCAGGTGCAGTAAGGATTTGGTTGATGAAGCTTTGAAGAGAAAGAGCGGAGACAACCTAGCGGTGGTTGTGGTTTGCTTCCAGCAGCAGCCTCCGCCTAACTTGGTGGCACCGCGCTCTAGAGTGCACAGGAGCTTCTCTGCTGAAGGCTTGAGGGAGTTGCAAAGCATCCTGGATAGCTTGGGCAATTGAGTTGATGCTAGTCCTTTCTTTTTTTTCCCCGGATTTCTCTTTGTACCTCATAAGATTCATTCGTAGGATTTGACCGAGAGTACCTTAACTGTAATATATGCGGCATCCAGTCCACTTTTATTTTGGTTTTTGACAATGTGAAATTATTCGCATTGGGTACTTCTTTTTGCCTTGTTTCCAAAGGCCAATCGGGAATAATATGCGTCGACGATGAGATTCCGAGTACTATGATTGCTTATTGGTTTGGGTATACTTTTGATATTTGAGTTTTTGTGAAGGATTCTATTTTTTTTTAAAATAAATAAATTAAGCAGTGTAACTTTCTCATAAGGTAGATTGATGTGGAACTTATGTGCTGGAAGGAGTCAAAAGGAAGCTGAATTTTTCACGACTAAATAGCACTACCTCCACTTTAAAATATATGATATTTTTTAAAAGTCTTATTTAATGCAAAATATATAGTATTGAATAGCTTTTATAATTGTTTTTTAAAAAAGTTAATTATTTAATCCTTCTAGTTTTAATTTAGTTACAATTCAATCTCTGAATTTTGATTTGTTATAATTCAATCTTTAAAATTTTGATTTGATTGTAAATCAGTTTTTGAATTTTACCTCTTATAATTTAGCTTTTGAATTTTTTACTTTTTAAATATTAGTCTCTATATTTTTAAAAATAAAATTATAATGATTAAAAATATCTTAAAATTATAACGTGGGCGAGATTCGAATTTTATTTGAGATGTGCTTATATTTAATGTCTTACTTCAAACATGGTTATCCTTAATAAAAGAATACTTGTGCCCAAAAAAAAAAAAAAAGAAAGATATTCATCATCCATCTTATTGTCATGTTGCAATGCATGGTCATAATAGTGTTCAGTGTTCACATCTGGAAAAAGCCTTTGCAACAAATCAAAAAAGCAAAATAACCTTAAGCCATATATTTAAGTTGGGTGGGGTTAAGTTTTATCTAGCACGAACATAGTGACTGCGCCTGTGAAAGGCAAAGCAAAGCCGCTATTAGAAAGCTCCAAAAAAGATAATTGATAGGCAAATTATTGTATTGATATTTCAAACAACACAACAACAACAAAAGTTATTCTTATCTTACTATGTGAGTTTGTTTATATAAATTATACAACATCATTATATTCTATTATTAACTAAATTTTTAAAAATATTATTAATTAAAAGATACTATTCAATAATTTTCATAAGCATTTTCTTTAATATTTCAAATAATAATTAAACAAAATGTTTGAGTATATTGCCATGAATTTATATCATAATAACTAGTCCCAGAATAATTGAAGTCAGATTCAACTACTTTAATAACATGCAAATAATAGAAAAGACGATGGGATTTATACGAAAGAAGACCAATTATTTAATGCACAGTAAATAATTGCTTAAAGTATAACACTTGTTATGAAACTAATTTGGAATAAACCAATAAAGCTCAGAAATATAAAGTTGAAATTGAAATCAACCATTTATTTACTGTGTCTGCATATTTTTAAACAATATAGTCTTGAGATAAATAAAATATAAATCTACTTTCTTTCTAAAATATGGACAAACTTTTACTTTCACAAAAATTTTAAATTTCACTTTCATGATATATGAATTTTGAAGCCGAAGGCTTTGGCCTCGTGTAGGCAGAAAAGGCTTTTTGAAAAAATGTTACCTTTTTTAAAAAGGGCATTTTTTAATAATAATTTGTTATTTTTTGTAACATATTTTTACTTTTGTACAGTCTTAAAAATAGAAACACGTTATTTTGTTTTTGAATTTATTACCCATAAAAAATAAAATATAAATTAAAAATTATATAAATACAAAATATGTTAATATGCTATTATAAAAATTCAGTATAAAAATATTTTTAAAATGCTAGTACTCATTGTCAAGCATGCCTTAACTTTTTTGACAAAATGAAAAAAAAAAGAGCATAACACAAAATATTGCAAAAAAAAATTAAGAAAAAATAATTTAATTTTACAAAATCTATTGATGGGACCCACAACATTGTTAATGTTACTGTTGCATAATGGTAAAATTGATTATACTTTATTGTATAAGATAAGATGTTTCTATTTCTTTTATGAGAGTAATAATAATAGACGTGACACTGGAATTGCTGTGATCTTTGCATCCCCAGTCCCAAATGATTAATGGTAAGTTGAGAGGAATTTTGGATTCTGCTCTATGTTGAGAGGAACAATGTCCCATGTTTAGAAACTATTTACTTTATCAATTAAATGTCTAATAATTGTTTACTTAATCAATTATTACTTAATGAATACTGAATATATTAGTCAGCAAGAAGGAATTGGGAGTATTTAGGCATGAAATATTGCGCGTTACCCATAAAAATAACTAAAAATTCATGCATTGTTGAATAAATTAAATAACTACATTTTTTCCTTATAAAAAAAACTATATTTTTCTAATCAGTCCCCAATATATCAATCATTACATACGTATGGCTACATACGAAATGTTTTTATATATGTATTGATTAATAACTATACAACGCATGGGGTTTGAATCTAGTTATAAGAAAATGTAAGATAAGATTATGCATTTAAAAAAAATATAATAATGATATTTTACAAACTTAAATTTTTATAACAAAACTATAAATTTTTAAAAATGTTCTTACAAATTTAATCATTATATTATAATATCATTTTAATTCTCTCTATAATTAAAGAATAATATTTAAAAAATATTATTAATGAAATTTTATTTTTATAAAACTATCTTATATTTTAAAATAATTTTTTTAAAATTTATTTTATAATTTAAAATATAGAGAATATTTGTCAATTCAAGCCTCGGCCGAACATGCACGAAAGCGATTAACTCAAAATCAAATGATTACTTTTAGATGTGGAGATTAGAATATTATCAGCTTGTGGAATTGCAAATGCTGTTCAATATTCTTCTATTTTCAAGTATGAGATAAAATAGCTAATTCATTTAGTTTTAAAAAATTAGATAAATATAATAATTATATTTGAATTTAAATTATTCTTATAAGTAATTAAACAAATTCATCCAATAAACATAAATATTAACTTTATGAAAAATAATTTGATGAAAATGTAATAAATACTTGTTAAAGTTTATGATTGTGCTTATAATAGCTTCTCCTGTATTCGAGAAGGAGTGGCACTTCAATTACATCTCCCATGCTCAATAGCGACATGGCTCTGAAAGCGGGAAGGGTTTCCGATGCGAAACGACGACTGTTACTGGTACTGATTGGCAATTGGTAGTATATCAGCTTCGGATGGACGAATTTGAACAATAGTTTGACCACCTTTATCATCTTCTCTGGAAGTTCAATGCCTTGATGCCGAAGACGAAAATGAGTGCGAAGAAGACTGAGAAACTAGCCACCACAACTGCAACAACTCCCAAGAATTCATGTTTAAACCCGAAGTAACTCCCCACAAATTCTTCTACTGTTTGGCCGCTCTCTAGTTTCTCCCTTACATCTCCATATTGGGAGACAATCAATCCATACAAGGTCCACGCAACCGGGCAAATCCAATAGTACCACTTCCACCATACGGGTATTCTCTGTTCCACAACAACACATCATTTAGATATTAGTCTCATTCTGTGAAATGTATAGAAGACGACGGGAACTTACTGATAAGGGAATGACGAAGCCTGAGAACAGGTTCCATATCGCGTAGAAGGCGCTCGCCATTACGCCCGCGACGTGGGGGTTGGGAGTGATGGCCATAGTCATCATGCCATAGAATGTAAAATATAAGAAGGTGAAGTACATGAAGAAGAGATTCCACAAGAGCTTTGATGTCTTCCACTCAAATCCCATCATGGCATATACTATAATACCGTATATTACAGTCTGAATCAAGATATGGGGAAGCTCGATGATAACCTGCGAAAAGCCAGAAGCTGATATTGGGTTCACCACGCATCACACACGTTTCTAGTCAAGCTAGAAAAGAAGGAAACTATAGTCAACTTTTCAGTGCAGTTTCTGTGGCTAATCTATCTTGGACTATGATTGGTGAACTTGATATGGCTGCGTGTATCGGATTTATTGCTTGGTGAGTGGTAAAGACAGTAACTTACCTGTGCTAGAGCATATGGCAAAGCGGAGTACATTCCGGCTGCTCGTTCTCTGTAGAAGACTGTTCTCTCAACGGCTACTAGGGGCTGCACTGAAGCAGCATTTTGTACCCCGATGAATGTAACTGCAGCATACATTGATCCCATTGCATTGAAAAGGTCTTGATCTTTTCTCCTGTTATTTTCAATTAGTTTGAAGGTATTCGATTGTAAGTTTTGCGTTTCATTTTCGTGCTTTAGCGTCTTTATTGCATTTTCACATACCTGTGCAAGCCAATGCCCCAAAAAATTATCCCAAACAATATAGCAATGATCGTTGTAAACAGAAGTCTAACTGCTGTATATGATGTGTTTCGCCAATATGATAAATGCTGTTTCCATAGGCAAGCCATAAATTGTGGGAAAAATGGTTGTGCATACTGATTAGCGAAGTATAGATCTTTTGAATCTAGAGGAGGCCTACTAAGCTCCTGAATCATTTGTTTGTTTCTCCTGTACACTTGAAAGTATTAGTAACATATTCAAATTATTTAAGCCATTATTAAAGTATAGTGTCCGACGAGAGTTTAACTGGTATAGTTCTGAGTTTCTGTACACATTGGTGAAGTTGACCCTAAGATTTGCCTCTGTTCCTGCTGATGTAACCTCCAGCATCCAGGTTGCAGGATTATAACCATCTCTGATCTTAGGCACTCCTTGAATGGCCTTCAGAAATCATAAACTAAAATGAATATGCTAAAGTAATAATAGCCTTATAGCAGTTAATATGTTTAATCTTGCTTGTAGAGGACTCACCTCAAAGTATTGGATTAGATGGGAACAATGGCGACCTAATGGACCAGCATATATTTGCTCTCCTCCCACTTTTAAAAGCAGTAGCTGAAAAGTTAAATGGAAATACTAAATTGTTTTGTAATAGAGTATCCAAAATAGAATTGTTTGTTAATGATAAGGATTTATCACCTCATCAAAGGCATCAAATATATCAATACTTGGTTGGTGGATGGTGCAAACTACTGTACGTCCTGTGTCCACTGTGTTTCTCACAGTTCTCATCACAATTGCAGCTGCTCTGGCATCAAGACCAGATGTTGGCTCATCCATGAAAATT